CCCCAAAACCCCAAAACCCCATGAGAGAAAATATAGATAAATTTGTTTAAAATTAAATCTAAGTTTTTATAGAGGTTAGCTTAGCTTGCTTGATAATTTCGTTATATTAGTTGTAAGAATCAAAATTCAACTCATAAGAGCGCCAATAACTGTTTGGACGTTTAGCTTCTTCAAGTGAGGGTACTTTTAGCCAACACCAACGAATACAATCGGTTTGCCAGTGGTATAAACCATGTTAAGTGCAGTTCCAACTTTTTCATCAACAGTATCGAATTTAGTCATAATAATTCCATCAATAGTCCTTGGATTGGTGTCTTATACAGCATAGTCAATGAGAGACTAGTTGAATTTAGTGAGTTAATCAATGGCATCATTTCCAACTAGAGCCTCACCAACGAATAAAACAACATCAGGAGAGTTGATATGAACCAATTTAGCAAGCGCTCTCATTAGTTTTTCATTACCTTGCATTCTTCCAGCAGTATCAATCAAGACAACATCATATCCTTTATTTTTAGCATCTTGCAAAGCCTCCTTAGCAATAATTGCTGCATCATCCTTGTAACCCTTCTCATATAGTGGAACATCAAGACATAAGCAATGAGTTTTGAGCTATTCAATGGCTCCTGATCTGAAGTTATCGCAACCTGCTATCATAACCTTTAGATTACCTTTAGTCTTCAAGTAATAGGCGACTTTAGCAAGTGAAGTTGATTTTCCAACTCCATTTACACCAATAAAGACAACAGAGTAAACTTAACCTTTTTACTTAGCACTTAGCGCATCCTTCAATATATCAATGTTCTTCTTAGGGGTTAAAAGTTTGGTTATTGAGTCTACTAAGGCACTCTTTACAGTTGCCTTCACAGTTGTGAAGCTTTCTGTTCTCTTATCGACTAATGTATTTGCAACTGACTTACATAATGCCTCAGCAATTTCTGAGGCAACATTTTTCTCCATAAGTGAGTCAGCGAAATTCTTCAAGATAGGCTCCACATCTTCTTCACTTAGAACTTTATTACCAGTAATGTTTTAGAAGGCATTAGTTAATTTAGAGAATAAACCTCCACCTTGCTTCTATCCTTTCTTACCTCTCTTGAAATTTTCAAAGTCAATCTCATCATCTGAGTTGTAGAAACCCTCTAGCTCATCATCATCTCCCCCGAGATAAATCTCCTTTTGCCTGTCGATATCGATCTCACCTCCCTTATTGGTGCTAACATCGACGTTTTCCATTTATTTAGCTGAGACCTTGTCAGAGTAGCCCATCCAAGTTCTCATCTCCTTTCCTGAAGTATTAGCTGCAGTATTACTACTACTGCCTGTCATGCTATCTGGCTTTTTATTTTAAACAGTCTGCCTTCTGTTGAATTTGTTCTTCAAAGCATCTCGGGCTTCTTTTACTTTCTCATCGTTTCCATCAAATCAGACATCATCATCAGATGCATCTCCTCCCTTTTAAGTATCATTTTAATTGACAATTCCGCTTTTTTCCTTAAGCTTTTTGGCTTTTGAAGTTTAATTGAAAGTTTTCATTTGTTTTGGGCCTTCCAGTTTCTTGGTTTTCTACTCCCATACCTTCCAAAGAACTTAAAAGTGTTGATCGAAATTAGTAGGAAGATCTAAGTAAACCTCTCCTTGCTTTGTGATTGATGGATATACCTTGCTAACGAATTCGAATCTCATTAAGTCTACTAGGTCCTCAACAAATCTTAATTGCAATATCTCCTTGTAAATGATTGCAAATACTAGATTTAAGTCATTCTATACCTTCCATTTAAGAACATACTCTGCGAAATTGTATTGATGCTGGGCTGTCTTCTCTTCCAATAGGATGTTCTTAATAAACATATTAAGCAGGTCAAGCTTCATGTCACAGAAGGCTTTGAACCAAAGGACCACACCTCCAGTGGTAAAAATGCATACAAAGTCAAACATTTTATGATGCTAGTAGTAGTTTATATAAGATTAAGATTAAATTATAATTCAATATTCGCATGAAACTAAGTGCACGAAATTTTATGATTAGGAATTTCAGTCACACTCAGATTTTTGCCTTTAGGGGTTTTGGGGTTTTGGGGTTTTGGGG